GGACATTTTAGGGGTTCTTAACCTGGAATATCCTAAACAGGCATCAGGGGTCTGAGAACCTCACAAAAAAATCAGAATGGCAAATCTGGGGCTTATAAGTACACATGCATTTTCCTGGAAAGAAAATGCATAACTTTTAATAGATTCTCAAAAGCATATGTAATCCAAAAGCTGAAAATCAAGAGAGAGAGAGAAAATAATGAACTACCTTGCATTTCAGTACCTCTTCTGCACACTTCTCCAAATAAGACTGCCCTTTGGCACAATTTCATTTGGCGTCTACTCTGGTTCAATTAGAATTTTCTCAAGTTCTAATCTTTCCTGGACCCTGACAAAACGAGGTATTTTCTGATGAGATTTCCAAACTTTCTAAGGCCAACACTAACTCTACGTACTTCCATTACACCCCTATCCGGCTGTTGTCTTTCTCTCTTACTCCCCTCAACCACATGGCTTCCTGAATGAACACTTCTCAGTATAGCCTGTCTCTTCAAACTGTGTTCACTGATCTGAGTTCTAAAACTGGTTTGTCCTATAATTCACTCTGTTTTCACACTTTCAAGGTTTTCCTCCATACCAAGGAGTAGCTCTCTTAAAATTAATCCCCAGATGGACTGATTGTTGACTTTCAAATATGTTTACAAACACCCACATTTACACTTAAAGTATATAAGATGTGTTGAAAGGGGCAAATTTCCCTTATCCCCCTCACAGGGCGTGCAACAGGGGGAGTGGCTTGCTTCCTCTGTGCCCAGCAGCTCAAGCCTGCATGCAGACAGGCAGGTCATGGGGAGTTTGGGGCTCCAACCCCAGGGCAGTGTCTAGAGTTGAGTGTTTACAGCTCCCAAAGTTCCAGCGTGTGTTACAGTGTGCTCTTTCAGCTTAGCTGTCCACAGGTGGCTTGTGTTAATCAGCTCAGTTAGAACCTCTGCCTCATCTCCAGGACAGAGGGCTTTCTGTATCCCAGGGCTTTCTGTATCCCTTGCCACTCCATCCACCTTCTGCCTCCCCATCCACCTGCTGAGAGCTACCTCCACCATTCAATAAACCTTTGCACTCATTGTCCGAGCCCACGTGCGATCCATTTTTTTTCCAGTACCATGGGCTTGGAGAATGAGTGCAAGGTTTTATTGAATGGTGGAGGGAGGTAGCTCTCAGCAGATGAGTGGGGAGGCAGAAGGGGGATGGAGTGGGAAGGTGGTCTTCCCCTGGAGTTGGGTCGCTTAGCAGCTGGGCTCTCATCCATCTACCCTTGACCAAATTTCCCTCTGCATCTGTGTCGTTCCACTGTCAATGGCCTGTCGGCGTCTGTGTGTTCTTCTGCCAGTGTGTTCCTCTCAACATCCAGTCACTTGTGTGTGTGACCATTGGGATCTTGGGGTTTTTACAGGCACAGAATGGGGGACACGGCAGGCCAGAGTGGTCTTGGAAAATGCAACATTTGGGTGCGAAAACAGAGTCCCTGTCCTCACCCACGCCAGTGGGCACAGGCCCAAGGGGGGAACCCTAGCCAGGAACCCCGCCCTTCTCTACCCAGCAATTTCCTGCCCACCTCCCGTATCAGTGTGACACCCTTTGGGACCCCAATGAGTAATATTTTTAACAAAAACGCAGCTAGCATTTACTGAGTACTGTCTAATTACTATGCTATTTGGAGTTCTCAACATGGGTTGATCTTTTAAATCCTGACAACATCTCTACAAAGGCAGTACTGTTGTTATTCCCAGTTTAAAATTAGAGATCCAAGATACCCATGGAAGTGAAATACTTAAATAACTCTGCACAGCTCATAAGCAACAGACCCAGGACTTAACCCTGGAAGGCTGGCTCCAGACCCCAATTTCTTAACCACTTCCCAATATTTCCTTTCATAATTAATTATGGGAGATGTTTCTTAACATTTCTCATCCTTAGTTTCCTCATCTGTAAAACAGGTAGGACATTATCCAAATTATAATATAAGAATGCTGGTAGAATTAAATGATATGTCTGAAGAGAACTTCGGTAATTACAAAGCATTTGATCAATATTAGTAATAACCAAATGGATAGAATGCTAACTACTTGGTTTCCTGCCTCCTTGGAAGCCAGGGTGTCACACACCATAATTCTGGTCAATGAAGCAAAATTCCCTGGGGAGAATATCCTTTCCTGAATAAAGAGCACAGTATTTAAAAAATGCTTTTCACACTATGTTCTTCCTTATTATCTGGGATGTGGATGTAACATCTCAATGTCCAATAATGACTTTGTAGCCACATAGGCAAAAACCACCCTCTAAGGATGTGAAGAAGAGAGAAAGGTGCCTGGTTCCTGAAAGACACAGTAAAACAGCATCCTCAGCCTTAGCTGCCTACTCCAGGCTTTTTGTTAGAAAAGATTTATAAACTCCAATGTTTCTAAGTTGAATTTTCTGTGATTTGCAGTAGAATACATTCCTCATTGATATACCACCATTCAAAGCCACCTCCTTCATGAAGTCCAAAAATTGGAATCTCCATGAATTCATGGTTTCCAGTCTCAGCTAGGCCCTTACAGCTACTCTTCTATCTTTGTACTATTGTTGATGGTTCCTTCTTCTTTCCTTCATGGGAACAGGCTGAAGTCTCTGAGCTCTCACTCCTAGTGGCCAACTCTATCTCCTAATGAAGAGCCAAATAAAGGCAATCGAGGCTGGAACACCTCACGGTGTTCTCCAACCAACCCTGTAGAGCTATCCAGTTGTTGACAGGGTGTTGGTCTGTTCCCATCCTCTTGTCCTGAGCAAATCCTTCCCTCTATACATTCTCTTCACTCATCAACCCATTGCAATCAAGCTTTGATTTCAGCCTGAAGTTCATCAAAATCATGCTTGTTCACATCATAAATGACTTTCAAATTGCTAAAGACAAACTTTTAGGCCCTTATTCCAGTTGAACTCATAACAGCATTGAACATTGCTGGCCACCCCCATCGCATTTTTGAAATTACTTATTCCTTTGGGGTCCATGGTACTGCTCTTGCTAAGTTCTGCATTTACCTACTTACTCTATTCATTCCTTCTCACTTGGATTCCCTTAAACTTCTTCCCTGGCTAGATGCTTTGACTTCAGCTTTTCCTCAGGATGAGATTATTGGCTTCCTCTTATATTCTACATACTCTCTTTGGATGAACTCACCTACATTTATAACTGAATACCACCAACAAGGGGTTTTGCTATCAACCATGATAAACTAGCATGTTTCAGATAAACCCTCCAACCACAAACAAAATACAATCAACATCTGTTTGCAGGCATCAGAAAGATACTTAGGCACTGGATACTTACAGGGTGAAAATTTTGGAGAGAATAAAATTCAGGGAGATGGACTTTCACCTTTGATATGTGTCTCCTCTTCATGAATTCCTTACCCAAATGAATAGCAAACATGTCCACCCAGCTGTGCAAGATGGAAAATTTGGGCCATTCAAGCTGCTTCTTTTCTCTTGTAACCTTCATTCAAAGAATTACCAAAGTCTGTTCATTCTACATCCTAAAGATCTCTCCACCTGTTCCTTCCTGTACATTTCCTGCCATGCTACCCTACATCAAGGCCTTATTATTTTAAACACTTTGAATATTTTGAAAGACACTTCCTATTTGGACTCCCTGCTTCCAAGCTCATCTGACAGGTAAATCCAGCCTCCATATGCCACCATAACTATTTTACTAAAACACTAACCTAACCATATCACTCCACTGCCTAAATCGCTTTGATGGCTCCACTTAATCTGAAAAATAAAACACAATAATGAAGTCTTTGACTCCAAATGCCATTCTGTCTTACCTTCTACCCTATTCAATGTACAGTCAGGCCTGAACAACATATTAGGAGTTCCTCAAAAAACCCAGGTTCTTCTCCAGTGTCACGCCATGAACTTTGTGTTTCCTCTGCCTGAAAAACCCTCTACCCCTCCCCTTAATGCTTTCCCCATTTGCGAAAATAAGTAAGATGCCAACTTTATAAGTTACATCAAACTAAATTCAAATGAATAAAAGATTTAAAATCGAATCTTTGGCTGAACTCACCTACACTTATAACTGAATACCACCAACAATGGGGTATTCAGAAAGAATTATTATAAAGAAAAACAAACCCAAAAAGTACTTGCAGAAAATACGCATGAATAATTTTTGTTTCCTTTAAAGGAGCAGTTAACGAACTATAACCTGAGGGCCAAATTCAGCCTTCAGTCTATTTTTGTAAATAAAGTTTCATTGGAATGTAGCCATGCTGACTTATTTACACGTGTCTGTGTGTGCTTTTACACTGCAACAGCTATGTTGAGTAGTTGAGACTATATGGTCAGCAAAGTCTAAAATATTTACTATCTACCCCTTTACAGAAAAAGTTTACTGAATCCCCAAACTAAAGGATGTTTTAAAAGACAGATATTATTAAAATGAAAAGATGGAAATTTCCAAATACATAATACTTAGAAACTTAGAAACTCTGATTACACAAAATTGAAAGTCAATTAACAAACTGGAACCCACATTTGAAATAGATACGACAGAAAAAATGTTAGTATTGGTGATATATTAAAAGCTCTCAACAATGAGGAAAAGATCAACATCCAAATAGGAAAATTGATAAATGGCTTCAATAGCTAACTGAGAAATTAAAAAGTATAAATGGTCAATAGATACATGACAATATTTTCTACCTTGTTAGCAGTCAAAGGAAGACAAATAAAAGAAATTATTATTTCACGATTTACCTAAAAAATTGGCGAATACATTTTTTTAAAACAGTAATACCCTGCATTGGCAAAGGTTCAAAGAAACAGGCTCTCTTCAAAGATATAATGGGAACAAAAGTTTGATACACACTTTTTGGAAGAAATTTCACTTTTAGAAAACTGGTACAAAAGCTACTTCCAACTAAAAAAGGTCAGCATTCAGAAAATGTTATTCTAGCAATAGATGGTCTAAAATACATCTTGTATGACGGTAATACCGTATTGGGTTTAAAACCTACTTTTTTCAGGAGAAACGTGTGACTTCGATTGTCCTCGTACAAGCCTGCAGGTGGAGCCATCACCCGCACAGACTCCACAGTTGTCCTCCTTGGCATTGCTTCCCAGTTGCCGATCACAGCCCACTGCCTGCCAACAGAAGCATGGCGGTCAGTGGTGCCCAAAACCAGGGGATGGGGAACTCCCTTCATTTCAGGAACCTTAGTTGTGATGTAATCCTTAAATTTACAGTTTGGCTCTCTTTTATGAGAACATAGTTTTATAAATGTAAATGATATAATGTCTTACAGGATAGTATCATTTATATGATTCTAATGCAAGGCCGAAATATTAATAAAGATTTGAAGCTGTCCCTCCATACCCCCTCCCTCTGTTGCCCAGGATGGAGTGCAATAGTGGGACTGTGGCTCGCTGCAGCCTCAACCTTCTGGGCCCAAGTGATCCTCCCACCTCAGCCTCCCAAGTAGCTGGGATCACTTAAGCCTGGGAGGTTGAGTCACAGGCCTGTGCCCCAACACCCAGCTTTTTAAAATGTGATGAAAAGACAGGGTCTCCCTATGTTGCCCAGGCTGGTCTTGAATTCCTGGGCTCAAGTGATCCTCCTGCCTTGGCCTCCCAAAGTGCTGGGATTACAGGCGTGTACCACACTGCCCAGTCCAGGCATTTTTATGTATATAAAATAAACAGAACATGACAGACGTTTCCTCTCTCCCCAGTCCTACACTTGTCCTGTTCTTTCATTTCCTCCCCAAAACAACCACTGTCCTAAATTTCATGTATAACCTTCTGGTTCATAGTTTTACTTTAAATATCTTTTTTTTCTGTTTTTACTTCTATCTCTAAATACCTATATCCCTATATCGCTATATTAATATCTGTCTGTAGCCTTTATCTATATGTTTCTAGCTCCTCGTCTTTATCATTAGCTGTACCTAGGCCTATGTATCTCCACCTCTGTCATACCTATATATTTATAAACAATTTTTAAAATATAAAAAGGAACTAAAAGGAGAGATGTCTCATATAAAATATGTGTTTATACTGCTATCTTTCCTTCTCTTGTCATTTTTCATGTGTACATATGTGTGTGTATTTGCTAGATTACAGGCTTGCTTATATGAGAAAAAAAGGCCATGTCTTATATTTCTTTTTTATTTTGTAAGCATATATTTTACATAATGTGTAAAAGACAATAATATCAACTGATTTGATGGTTTATCTCTTCCTTCCCATATTCATCTAACTTTATTTATAAACCTAGTGTTTAAGCGCAGGGACTTTGGAGGAAGAAAACACCCACGTACAAACCTGGATCCACCCACCAACCTTTTAAGCTGCAGGATGTTGAAAAATTCAGACTCTCAGAGACTCGTTTTCCTCAACAGTAAAATAGAGAGAATAATACCAATATATACTTCACATAGGGCCTAGTGAGGATTCAATGAGAAAACATATGTAAAATTCTTAGTATAATCATTCAAACATTATAAAGGATTCAATAAAAGACGGCCAATGTTATTATTTCTCTCTGTTTTTCATCTTGACTCCTGGGTAGCCCCCATGCTTCAGCTTGGAGAGTTGTTGAATTAGACTCTATATTCAAGCTGTTGAAGAAGAAATGAAACTAGAGGAAGTTGGGACAATTATTTATACACTATTCTTTCCAACATTTTGGTGTCGAAGGGAAAGAGAAAGACCTAGTGAAAATTTCAGGGAGAGGTAGTAAGTTCCAAGGAAGTTGAGGGAATAGCTTATGATTAGAGATATTTTCAAATTCACAAAGAGCTATCATGAGGAAAGGGTCTACTTTTGTTCTTTGTATTTCCAAATGGTGAAAGCTACAGGTTTAAGCATAATTTGGTTCAATATGAGAAAGTTTGAAAAGTCAGAGTTATCTAATTATAAGTATTCAGTCATAGTCTAGGAGACCTCTTGGTGGAACAATTGTAGGGGGGATTAAATCATTGGATGAGTGCTTTTATCCAATGACTTTTGAGATCCTTTAATCCTGATTATATGGTTTTATAAAGATGGTAATACAATATTAATAATTGCTGATTTTTATTGAATGCTTAGCATGTACCTGGCATTATGCCATGAATATTGTACACATTATTTCATTTAATCTTCAGAGCAATTTTATGATGTAGGTGATACCTTTCACTCTATTTTATAAATAAGGAATCTAAACATTACTGAGTAAATGATTGGCCAATATTATACAGCTAGTATACAGTGTTGGTAATGGTTTTAAAACCCAAGTTATCCGACCCAGAATCTTAACACTACATTACAACTTCCTCTACCTTAAGTATCAGCAGATAGACAACAACAAAAGCCCAGTTACACAGGCCATTGTATTAATATTTACAAGTACATGTGGAACAACTTAAGAGTGATTGATTTTGGAAACACACTTGCATGGTCGAGATTCAATCAATGAGTAACTTGTGTTCATGCAACTTTCTCCAAGGGGAGTAATTCCACTATTAAATTATAGAAACACTGCTCCTGGGCCAAGCTCTGTCCTCACACATTCATGTCCCTGAGCACTCTGCATTTCATGAGAAGGAGAATCGCTCTCTATCTAGTCATCCAGGAAGGGTGTGGGTTTAGGACCTAGGAGGGGCTTGTTTTGAAGAGTGTTTAAGGCCTTGTAAGATCTCGGGCAATTGAATACCTCCCTGAGCACTTATATTTGCTTCATAATTTTTGTAAAGTTACAATTCATCCAAATGTTATAACCAAATAAAGCATGTGAAAACATCACAGAAAAATGATATTTGAAAAGAAAGTCTTACATTGGAATTCATAAGGAATAAGCCAGAAATGCCTTTGAAATTGAGGGGCTACTGAATTTTGGCTTTCACATCCCATCATAATCAACAATAAGCAACTTCTAAAAAATTGCCTAAAGTGTTTCCAACTTCTATGACATCGTCTGAAGTCATGATCTCTAATTACAGTGATTTATTAACTACTAATTGACAGATATATCAATAAAATTTATTAACATCTATTAAATAACCATTTTATATATTGCCAGACACTACATAGTATAAATTAATAACATAAGATTCTTACTTTACAGTGTAGTTAATGAGACAAGTCACACAAGATAGTGGATGATATAAACAAACATTTTAAATATATGAGTAGTGCTTTTTGGAATAAATATTCATCTATAAATCATCACTTCAGTTAAAAATTATTTCACAGTTCCTGCTTATGATTTCCTAATCAGCTAAAAGACGATAATACTTAAATATTTAAGTGGCACTAGTCCAAATGAAGCAAAATATGAATTTTTCAGAGCAGTCAAATTTAATCATTCAAGAACAAAACAATTTTTTTTTAAATCAACTGTTTGAAATACCTGCAAATTGGATTTTAACTTGGGGGGAAAAAATCTGACATTTCTGTCTCAAAAATCAGAGTATATGGAGCTGTGGTAGTCAGTAGGGATACTCAAAAACATTTTGGTTCTTTCAGCCCACAGAAGGTCTGTACTTCTCCACTCCCTTTGAAGTTAGGTGTGGTCATTAACTAACTTTGGCCAATGAAATATGAGTCTAAGTGATTGATCTGTGTCACTTCTATAAGAAGATTCAAGGGTCAGTGTCTGAGTCCCATGTTCCCCTTGCACTACTGCAGTTATTATGTAACAAATGTGTCCAAATAAAGCCTACCTCAACCTTAGTCTCCCAGACATTCTAAGAGCTGAGGCTCCTGTCAACCGCTGTTGGGCAAGTGGTATCAGCAAGAAGTAACCTTTAATTGTTTTAAGCTACTGAGCTTTGGGGGTTGTTCGTTACTGCAGGAAAATCCAGCCTATACTATACAGGACTATAACCATTAATGGATAAAGCACGGTTATTAACAAGAAGATGGTTTTTAAAATTAGAAGTTTCACATTAAAATCCAGTTTTCCGGCTTCTCTTGACAAAAACAAAAACAAAACAAAACTTCCAACATGTTTATACATAGTTGCCCCCTTCACAATGAGCATGTATCCTCCAGTTCACCACCAGTCACCACCCAACGTGACTACATCTGAGCAGTTTCTCTCTGGGGCAGTGTGTAGACATTTGACTTTTAATCTCCGTACTAAGCCATCTAAGCATGAATCATCTCTTGAACTGACTGTTCTTTACCGAATTATACATCATTTTCAGTTACAAACTTCAGCTACACTTGTATCAATACAAAAAGTATGATCAGTATAGTCCAATAATTAAGACATTGGTTTCTGAAATTAGGTTCCCTGGGTTCAAATTCCAGCTCTACCACTTCCTAGCTATGTGCAATAGAAATAGACTGAATGTTTGTGTCTGCACCCAAATTCATATGCAGAGACCTAACCCTCAAGGTGATGGTATTAGGAGGTGAAACATTGTGGGGGTGATTAGGTGATGAGGGTGGAGCCCTCACAAATAGGATTAGTACCATTATAAAAGATACCCTGGATACCTCCCTCATCCCTTCTGCCATGTAAGCACACAGCTTCCATGAACCAGGAGGCAGGAAGCAGACCCTCACCAGACACTGAATCTGCCAGCACTTTGATTTTCGACTTCCCAGCCTCTAGAACTGTAAAAAATAAATTTCTGTTGTTAATATGCCACCCAATCTATGGCAGCTAGTGATAGCTGCCCAAACTGACTAAGATACCGTACAACTTGGGCAATTTACTTAGCCTCTTCAATTTCCAGTTTCCTTATCAACAAAGCAGGGAATAAATACTGTACCTACTTGATAGGATTATGATGAGCTAATAGTAAAGGGCTTCCACAATGCCTGATACCTGGGCTAAGCACCCAGTGTTAGTTGCTATTATTTTTATTTTTATTCTAAATTCTAAGTGGTTTCTTCATCTGCACAGTTATCAGGGAATTCAATAAACATGAATGACAAATCAGATTTGGTCTGCAGAGCTGGTACCAACCAGGTCATGCCTCTAATAAAAATCAGACCTCCAAAGCAAAAGCAAATTTCATTCAGTGAGCACTGCTGTCTCAGGCTGTCTGTTGTGCTCAGGCTAATGGAAAGTTGTTCCCAAGAGCATTGTGACATGTTCATTTAAATGAGAAAACTATACAGACATTTACAAGACTTATGTGTAGTCTATG